CATGGGGACAATGGGAAAATAGGGGACACTTGAAGACATGGGGACACAGACACTAGAGACACTGGCCGGGGGACATGGGGACATTGAGACATGGGGGGACTGGGAGACATAGGGACACTGAGACACCAGGGCCACAGACACTAGGGACAATAGCTTGGAGACATGGGGACATTGTGACACTTGAGGCACTGAGAGACATGGAGGCACTAGGAGACATGGGGACAGTGAGCCACTGGCAGACTGGGGGCACTGGGAGACTAGGGGGCACTGAGACACCAAGGATACTGGCTGGGAGACATGTGTCTGTGTCATAATGTCTCCCAATGTCCCTTAGTGTCTCAGTGTATGTCTCCTTGCAGCCTTTCCCCCATTCCTTACTTCCCTGAGCTGTAGGCTGTCTCTGCAGGGTGGGAGTTGCTTTCTGGACTCTCTATAGCTGCACCCCTGCAGATCAGTGAGTATAGATAGGCAGGGAGGGATATGCTGGAACTTCCTATCCCTGCCTGTCTCCAGACACAGTGACCCCTACTGGCCAGTGCTGGTATTGCATAGTAATCTCTTGTTTATACTGCGAAAAATACCAGAATTTGTATTGCCAGTATCACTGCAATATTGGAACCAGCAAGGCAGCCTCAAATACTGGCTGTGCCAATAAAATAAAAGCCAGGTGAGTAGTGTGTGAAAAAAAAAAAATGTAAAAAATAAAATTATTTTTTTTTTTTTAAATTAATGGGCCTATTCCATGGGCCTGGGCCTGGAGCTGCAGCTCCATCAGCCCCTATGTTAATCCGGCCCTGCCCAGACCACTTCATTAAGCTGAAGTGGTCTGGGTGCCTATAGTGGTTCTTTAAGTTTGCTTTGCTATTTGATCTAGTCTTATCTTTATGCACTGTTTACATATATCGGTATACGATAATAACTAAAACAACTTTATAGAGATCAAGCTCTATGGATTGATCCCTATGGAATACACTGTTTATTTCAGTAATTCTAAGAGTTGCCATAATTAATAGAGTTGATCCCATTCCCTTCATCCTCATTTTATTTTTGTATTTCATTTTTTGTGTTGACTAAATTCTCTTTCAGTCTATTTGTTGCTTGAGGCAGATTTTCTCTGGCCTAAGATTTTAACATATATATTTTTTTGTTTGTGAGGTCCTGTTATATTTGCTGTTTGCATTTTTGATGGTGAATGTGCAAATAGGAAAAATAAGAAACGATTACCTATGTTTCTCTACAATACTAATCCTACTTTTAAAGTCTACAAAATATTAATAATGTAATATTGATGTAGCTACTAATATGTATATAGTATGTTGCTCACCACAATAAGAGGATTAATAACACTACAAACTAATTTGATGCTAAAATATGTGCTCCATTTCTAGTGACTTTTTTTTGGTTACCATTATTCAGGACCTAAAATCTGTAATATAGGTAAATTAAGGGTTAACATTTTAAAAGGTGTCAATATCAGGTAATTTAATAAAATTACATACATGATCACTAAGAGCAAAGTTATTAGTTTTACCATACTGGATAAAAGGACACGTTTAAACAAACATAATAGTTGGCCTGCAGAAAACTGGTCATGATGGAAGTTTATTTAAGGATAACATAACCAAAAATGCTGGCGTTAATCAAAATCAGCTTTTCTTCAATCATTCTCCGAACTGTATCAAAAGCTGTTTGAACTAATCTCAGTAACATTACTTTCTGATATATATTTTTGGAAGTCACAGCTAGGAATCCCCAGTTTGTTGCACATTGATCTGACATAAGTACCAGGAGAGGCAGTGAGCAAGGCGCGCCTAATCCACTTTTATCTACTGTCCGTGACACGCACTCTGCCTAATGCAATGGCCTATTGATTTTCCACATTGTGTTTTGCCATCACAGTCAGAGAGGAGTTAGGAGAAATCTGTCTATGATATCATGGGACCTCAATGACACTTCCTGACAACCAAAATATGATGTGGAAAACTCTCAATATAACTATTTGTAACTACAAACTTGGAAGATAAAGGATGTTATGGTGCCGAAAAAATAAATAAATAAAAAGACTTGAACTGTTGCTTATTTGGTCTTACAGAAGAAAAGCTCAATGTTCCCATATGGACTGCTTGTAGATTTTTTTTTCTTGTTTACAATTTTCATTAGGACTGTTTTCAGGTTAGCAAAGATGTTCTGCAGCAGATATGAATCTTACTGTTATACATGATCAATATCTAATGTGTTAAATACTTAATTTTTAATGTGGCTTGGCTGACAATATGCTTTCCATTTATGGTGCAGGTATTTTATGACCGTTTTCTCTATTGTTTATTTGATTTTTGATTTTTTTTTAAAATATTATTACCAGTTAATTACTACAGAATTTAATATCTGACTAATACTTGGTGGTAATATTATCTGCAATTCATAGATATTTAACTTTTGCTAGTATTAATCTCTGCAAGCACAATTTATCATTTGTGTTATAATAGATTTCCAGCTTGTCTTATAAATAGTTAGTGTGTTTATATTGTACGTATTTGGCATGTTAACCCCTTAAGGACAGACCTTCAAAAGCTTGTCTTTCACTTAATGACAACGGCATTTTTTTCATTTTTTGCTGTTTGCGTTCAACTGCAATTTGCATTTTACTAATTTGTTGCACCAACACATATTATACATCATTTTTTAAAGGACAGAAAGGGCTTTAATTTATGTAACACACATATATATAAATGCTTATTTATTATAAAAAAAATACAGAAAAATGTAAATAAAATAAAAATGTTGTGTTTTTTTACAGTTTTTGCAATAATAATGTGTGCATAATTAGTGCAGGTTAAGAAGTGTAATTAAAAATAAATTAATTTAGTTGTTCTGATTTACAGAATATATAATGTGTCTGAGATTTTAAGTTTTTTTTGGTAGTTACAGGTCACAAAGCACATGGAGTACAATAGACTTTTAATGTGGAATGATTTTAGAATTTGGTATGTTTGTCTTGTAAGCTTAATAGCCATAAAAAAAAACAAAATTGCCACACAAAAGTATATATTTATATAAAGTAGACATCACGGGCTATTTACCTAAGGTTGTTTTGACACTTTCTACGTAGCCATTTCACCGCCATTCTCTGATAAATATTGGAGTAAAATTGTGTTTTTTTTGGTTTTTGGTGCACAAACTTATAACAAAGAAATTCTCGTATATATTTTTTAAAGTTGGTGTGTGCTATTCCTGTACAAAGTTTTATTTTGTGTTCAGTTACATCTGCTGAGTAAAATGACACCCCCATTGTATGTCTTTGGCACTATTTCGTGAAGCTACAGTGCCATATAGGAGACCAAGCCATATCCGTTTTTATCAAACTTTGAATTTTGACGCTGGGCCTATGTGCAATTTCCAAGCATCTTCGCAGGTTTTAAATTCAAACTACCCCACAAAGGCCTACCATTTCTTAAGAGACACCCCATAGGGTGTTTCAAAGTATGTACAGACCTTAAGCGTGGGATCATTTTTCCGCTAGCTTACCCAGATAGTGGTAATAAGCTTTCTGCCTTTGACATACAAAGTGAGTTTGCACAGTATATTTTGCAAACCTTATGTGTGCTACGACTGTATAATACTTCATATGTTGCTCAGCGATGTCGGCTGAGTACAGCAATACCCCATATGTACCTTTGCCAGGTATGTGTGGACATCGGAGGGGCACATTTGGGACACAGCCATTCCAGTTTTTTTCAAACTTTGAATTTTTATGCTGTGTCTATGTCCCATTTTAGAATATTTTACCAGGCTATATAATCCAAATACCCCATAAAGCCATACCATTTCTTAAAGAAGACATCCCAGGGTATTTCAAAAGGCATATTTTGAACCTTAGCGTGGGATCATTTTCCGCTAGCTTGTACCAAGTGTAGTGGTAATAAGCATTTTTTCTGCCTTTTTGACATTCAAAGTGAGTTTGCGCAGCATATTTTGCAAACCCTATGTGTGCTATGACTGTATAATACTTCATATGTTGCTCAGCTATGTCGTCTGAGTACAGCAATACCACGTATGTACCTTTGCCAGGTATATGTGGATGTTGAAGGGGCTCATTTGAGATGCAGCCATTCAGTTTTTTTCTAACTTTGAAGTTTTACGCTGTGTCCATGTTCCATTTTGGAGTAGTTTAGATGGTTGGTTATTGAAACTTCCCCACAAACACATACTATTTATTAAAGAATACACCCTGGGATAATTCAAAAGGCGTATTTTGAACCTTAGCTTGGGATCATTTTTTCTCTAGTTTGTTCCAGGTGTAGTGGTAATGAGCGTTTTTAAATGTATTTTTTTACTTTTTAAAACTTTTTTACTTTTTAAAACTAGTTTTTAAACTTTTGTTTTGCTTATTAATTTTTTTAAACTTTCCTAAACTTTCTTAAAACTTTTTTACAGATTTAACATTTTTCTAAGCTTTTTTTTTACCGTTAACCCCTAACTAGCAGTAAGCAGCACTAACAGTAAATTCCCCATTTCCCCATAACTCCCAACCACCCCAGCTAGCAAAATATATAGTTATAAAATATTTAAATTAATTAATTAAATAAATTGAACCCCTGAGTGTTAAAAAATAAATAAAAGTTAATCCTCAGGGGTTAAATAAAAATTAGATCACAGTATAATACTGTGATCTGTATTTGATCACTGTAGGCAGTGATCGACTGGCAGGGAAGGGTTAATTTTTATTTGGACTGGGTAAAGGGGGGTGTTTTTTTATTTTTTACTTAAATGTTTTTAAAACTTTTTTTAAGCTTAATTTTTAACTTTTTAAAGTTTATTTTAAAACTTTTTTTAACGTTAACCCCTTGTTAGCCTAACGCCAATCCCCCAATTCCCCACTAACTTCCACCCACCCCAGCTAGCTAAATATATAATTTTAAAATATTTTAATTAATTAAATAAATTTAACCCCTGAGGGTTTAAAAAAAAAAAGAATTAACCCTCAGGGGTTAAAAAAAAAAATCAGATCATAGTAAAATGTAATCCCTGCCAATTGATCACTGACTACAGTAGTCAGTGATCAATTGGCAGGGATTACATTTTACTATGATCTGATTTTTTTTTTTTTTAACCCCTGAGGGTTAAAACCCTTATTTACACAAAAAGATTATTAAAATATGTTTTATTTTAGGTATTGATATTGAATTCCATATAATTACAATCAATTTGTTACAGTAATATGTATATAGACATTGGCACTTTAAATATTATAAGATCCACCAGTTTCTAAATATAGAAGCACTTTATGCACCAATATTGAATAAAATAGAACTTAGATAAGTTAAGTGTACAAGCACATTATGACACTGATCTTAATGAAAACTCCACAATATATAGGCACTTTCATGTAATACTTTGTCACTTTATAAATGGTTTGGGGCAATAGAATAACCATCTGATCAGCTATTATGTCTTTGCTGTGTATTCATGTTATTTTCATTTTGTACTATCGATGTTTCCGGAATGGAACGCACACGTCACACTGTGTGCGTTCCAACCGGCTCGTTTCTATGCCAACAAGATTCTTTCATGCCGGAAACCAGGCCGATGTTCAGAAGGAGATGACGCCGATATCCGGAAATGACGAAACCGGAGTTTGCGTTCCAAATACCGGCGAAACACAAGTATAAAAGAACAAGAAAGCAGAAAGGAAGCATCACCGACTGAGGAAGCCCCTGGCATGGGGCGAAACGCGTTTCGGTATTATAGAGACTTTTATTTGGACTCTTTTATTTCATTTCATTGTATATGTTTTATTGGAGACATTCTCCTTATTTTTATCTTTTGCTGCCAATATTGGGACAAATAAACACTTTACTTTTTAAGTAAGTGTTCTCAGCTCCATTTCTTTGGGTGAACAGAAGATCCTCAGAAGGAGGGGGACATCCTACTAATAGTCCCAGTGCTGTTTCCATGAGAGCCACATGTTCTTGTTTGGCTCTCGGTTTGTGAGTACCTGACCACTTTTATTTACATCTTGGATACCAATTTGCCAACAATACTACACTATATTGTTGTTTTTATCTTTGTTTAGATATTGTAAGAAGTGTGATCCACCTACTGTATGTATTGCTTTTAGGTGAAAGCAGTATTGTAATGAGTAAGCATATAAGAGCATAACTTACTTAAATGATTGCTGAAGTAACACATGCTTAGCAGTGGTGGAACGTTTAGGAATACCGCTGCAATCAGAAATACTACTCAGCTAAAATTAGCTGGGGGTATCAACTTATCAGCATAGCTGTGCAACCTGGCACAATACATGTCCTGTCTATACATTATGATACCAAGGGATAGTATCACTTGGAACAATTGTTTCTAAACGATGCAAGCAAACTGTTGTGGTAAAAAGCAATGGTTTGAGTCACTACTGGGAGGCTAGAAACAAAACTATGCAATAAAATTTAGAAAATAATAAACATACATTGACACTTATATATTGTGTCAAAACTAGAAAAACGGGACTGGAAAAACGAAGGTAAGGCCTATTACCTGAGAGTCCTCTTTTGGGCACCAAGTGGAGTACATCTTGGTGTCCTTGTGGACCAATTTACTAGCATGTTCAACCCTTTTAACTTAGAGAGAACCCAAGTATATGCATTGCAGCAAAAACAGAAAATATGAGAACCCTGAGAAAGAGTCAAAGCTCAGAGATACTTCAATAGCATGATCTCAGCTTATTCCCTGCTCAAGTTTTAAACACATTTTTGTTCACTTGTGCCATTACAATGAGACCCTATACCATTTACGTATCAGACTAATCCCCAAATGAAGGGCACCAAAAAACAAAGTCGGGATGTCCCATCAAAATTGGGAAGCAATGTGATAGGGTAGCAGACTCCCAACTTGGAAAAATGGGTGGTGGCTTCACCTCTACAGTTCCACCCTCTCCCGTGCACACGCATCCTCCACAATACAGACAGACACAGCCCGCAAACATGTATGAAAACCTTGACACACAGATATACATACTCACACACAGACTCAGATAAACACACTGACACACAGATACACAAACTGACACTCAGATACACACACAGACACATACTGACACACACTGGCACATATACTCATATACACACTGACACACACACTCAGATACACACATACACACACTGACACAAACACTCAGATACACACTGGCACATACACACAGATACACACTGGCACATACACACAGATACACACACTGACACAAACACTCTGATACACACTGACACACACTGGCACATACACACAGATACACACGCTGACACAAACACTCCGATACACACACAGATACACACACTGACAAAAAACTCAGATACACACACTGACACAGATACATACACTGACACAAACACTCAGACACTGACACACAAACACATACACACATACTGACACACAGATACACACACTGGCACATACACTCAGATACACACTGACATACACACTTGTAGCGGAACGCCAATAATAAATCCACGAATTCCGCTGGTTCAGAAACGAATCCCCAGTCAAGCGCTGAAAACCACAAGGCAATATCCCCAACCTCCCAGTAACCGGACGAGACACAGTTCTGAGAGTCAACTGACATCCTTTTAATCGGCTGGACAATTTATACAAGTCCCCATGCAAGGGGTTTCCTGAGTCCCTTCCCAGGGGCACTCCCAGAGGGGACTACATGGGGGACTTACATTACAACATATTTCTCCCATCAGGCACCGCTGCACGAGAGGGATCATCTTCCCAGAATGCACCGTTAAGTGGATTATCCCCTCGTGCAGCAGAACCGACAATTTACACGAAAATCCATAACTTGTTGAATATATGGTGGATTTACACGAATGGACGTTCGGTAGATAGCTGGGGTCTGAGCGCATCATTCGTGAGATTACCGCTCAGATCCCAGCTAAAATAACCGAACGCCGCACGAAAGACAGATTTCTGATAAAACATATGAAAAGAACCGATTGCTTGCAGGGAACAAAATACCGAATGTCCCGAAACTCCCGAACGTCCTGGAGGCTCAGCGGTGTTCGTGCCGTTGAATAGCCGTTTTTAGTACCATGCGTTCGACGACATAGCACCGCTGAGGGAACAAAGGATCCAAGATGGCCGACCGCCGCATGGTCGGTAGTCGAACGACGGCCACCCAGGAGAGCCTCTAATTACCGATTGCAACATTGTTGCAATAGGTTAACTAGCGCCACACGACTCTAAGTGTGTGGGCTATTAGGGAGTATTGCGTTCGGTTCACGAACGGCCCTCCAAAGTGCCGTTCGTGAAACGAAAGAAAACCCCCATACAAAACCGCTATTTGCATTCGGTAAAAGGCAATACAAACATACATAATGCATATACATATAGGATGTAGCACATATCTCTCTATACATACAGGCAACCCTTAAAGGCACAGTCTCTTTACATTGTCCAAGTGGCTAGGTTTGCCACAACACTCATATACACACTGACACACACACTGACACACATACTTTATATATTTGCAGCCACCCTCCTGTTACATTACCTTTGTGTCCTGGAGGGTGGCTTTCTTGGTGCTCTGGCTGAAGATGATGGGAGTGAGCATGCAGTAGCAGCTCACTCCAGTCTCTCTTCTGCCCCCATGCTGCCTGTACAGCTGCTGACTCCATGCTGTCTACTCCCTCCAGTCCTCGTGTGTGGATCTCTGTAAAGTGGGGAGGAAGTGACAGGCTGTTATTACTTCCCTCCTGCCGGCTAATACTATGGTTGGCTCTTAAAGGGCCGACATCCCACTGGACCCTGCTTAGTGAGTATGAGGGAGGGGGGCACAAATCATGTATAATATCCTGGTAATCAACACACAATCTGATATATATTGTATGTCAGATTGTGTGTGTGATTTCCAGAATATTACACATGATATGAGGGTGTCAGGGAGCTGCATGCAAAATGCAGGAGTCTCCTGGAACTACCGGGAGACTTGGTATGTCAGGGGTAGTCACATATCCTTGCTGCTGTGATACATGACTTAAAAGAGATAGGTTTTGTTATGCCAGGACAGAACTCCAATATATACTTACAAAGCATCGCTGCACTAATAGGTCCTTAAAGCGTAGAGGTTATTCCTAAACAAGACATAAATCAATATTTCAACTCCAATTGGATTTTTCTCAAAATTGAGATCAAATCTTGAGACAGGTTAAAATGCATACCCATAAGTGTCTCTATTTTGGAGGCATAATCCATATTTTGGGCCCCTCTGTCCCTCGTTTCTACCACAATGTCCTTCTTTTGTAGAAGTTCCGTATTGTTAATGTGTCTGGGTGTAGAGAGCTCCACAGTAATAGTACTCCCAGTAATGGGTTTTTAAAGTGCTATAAATGTGTTTAGAATCAGTCTGTGCAAATTAGACATATTGTTTTAAATTACATAAAGTTAGATATATTGTTATAAGTAAGCCACCTTAAATTTCTCAGAACAACCATGTCCCTTGCCCAAGCCTAACTCCTACCTTTGCCTGTGTGGAATGTTGGGAGGTATGATGTGTGTTTTAAGATAAGTGATCTGGCTAACCCCTTGTTCTTTCTTATTGTCCAGAGGGCCTCACACACTCAAAGGGTTATTCATTAAAGTGTGAATTGTCCTGAATTCAAAAGTTTTCGCGGGGCCAAATGCCGGCTTGGCCAGTCAACACCTCCTCGTAGATATGCATTAAATCAATGCATCTGTATGAGGAAAATTCAGTGTCTCGATGAAGAGCTAAACAAGAAACAAAATTCGGATCAAACATTTTGAAGGAAACAACCTTATACATATTTCCTCAAGAAATCAGCATTGTGTAGGAGATTTATTCTCACCAGTGCATTGTTTTCCATTAATCATGATTGCAATTCTAGATGCAGTTTGTGTGAATCAGAATATGATTCATTGGAATCTCCTTCTAAGATTACTATCACATTTATGAAACACTACAGTGTCCAAATTACCATATCAGCTGTTAATGAACTTGTAAGTCGTGTAATCAGTTGATTACATGAATTGTGAATAGAATTGTAAACAGATGAATAAAACTTTGAAACTCTGCAGAA